CAGCCCTCCCTGAGCTCCCATCAGCAGCTTCATGAGACCAAACAGGTGATACCTGGCTGGACATGGGGTCAGGCCCACAGAAGTGACCTGGACATCTCCTGATGTGGCTGGCAGGTACATTCCAGGGCAACAAATGAAGCCAACAATCAAGTGTTCTCACCTCTGTAGATAAGTCTGGGAGAATGGTGGCTGGGTGTCACTGCTGTGGGAGTGGAGCTGTCCTCAGGCAGCCAGCAGTCCCTGGAGACCACCCTAGGCATGCCACACAAGTCTGTGTGGTCACATACCTGGATGAACCCCCAGACCTGCCACAGTAAATCACTTGTTGTGACCCATTCCCACCACGCTTGCTTATCCAATCCCTCCACAGAGGCAGGGAAGCTGGCTTGAGTGGAGACCAGGCAGAGTCTATGTGTTCAGCTACAGTCAGGATCACCTGTCAGAGTTGCAGGTTGCCTAGTGTGGATCCCAGGCCACTGAGAGCACCACTCCTCCTTGCCAGTCTTCCCAGGCTTGTTTTGCATTTTGCCAGGCTGTCCAGTCAGAGGCAGGGCCATGGTGAGCTAGCCTTGTCTTAGGAGGAAGAATGTCTTCCAGGCAGTCCGCTGCTGGGACTTGAGAGACCCAAGGAGATGCTCCAGGTCTCTAGGCCTCCTGATGCCACATCAGCCTCTCAGCTAGTCAGTTTATTGTGGATGAGCTCCTTTCCTACTTGGAGGAGAGATGAGTGTACACCAACATGCTGCCCCTGAACCTCCTCTTTCCTGGCCCTGGGGGCACAGAGGATACCCTGGATTGTTGTATTGTGTAGCACCAGGGGAGAACCCTGGCTTCAGGTGTGGATGTGAATCCCCTGCATCTCTGCAGCACCCAGTCCATCCAGAGGAGGAGCTCTGAGGAGTGTGAGGACCAGGGGTGGGCCACACCCACAGGTGACAATTATGACATCCACAGATGGTCTTTCAGCTTTTCAAAATAGACAAGAATTGTATGTTTATTCTGCACATGATGCTTCCATACAGATATTATTAAATGGCTAATCTACCTAGTTAACAAGTGCCTTACACACACAGATCACTAGTGGGGTGAACTGTCATCCATTTCATGAGTAGCATAAGGATGTGGTGTGGTGACAGATGGAGGACAGGGAGGAGCCAACCCTGGGCTCAGGCCACATCATGGCTTGGTGCCTGTGGAAGGGCCTGAGACTGTCACATGGCTGTCCGCTCCTGCACCGTGCACTGTAGGGCCCGGGTTTGACCCAGTCCACCAGAACATACTCTACCTTCTCCTTGGAGCTAAGTGATGATGAGGACGGCTGAAGGTAGAGTGGCGGAGTCACTAGTGAGGAGAGGAGGACGGTGCTGCCCAAGGACAGGAGGAATCCTCACTGGTCCTTGTGAATGTAACCTTTGAAGCCTGCCCTCCAGGTCAGTTTTCTCTCCTGAAGGAAACAGCTGTGCCAGCTTCTGAGGTCCCAGCTCTGAGTGGACCTCACCCCTCTTGGCCTTGGTGAGTAAAGGCAGTTGTTTTTGTCTCCTCCTACTCACCAGGGGAGGAAACATGTTTGGCACTGGCCACAGGACTCTACCTGTGCCTGGGGAGCCCCCAGGATGCTCACAAGGTAGGGTGGCCACCCTGCTCTCTAGACTAGACTAGCTGGAAAGAATGTTTCCCTTGGAGGTTTCTGAGGCCCAGAGTCTCTATGAAAGTTCCCCCCTCCCACCCACTTCACACCAATTACCCTCCCTGACTGAGCTCTCCCCAGAGAAGAGCACAGACCAAAATAGGGGACACCAGGCTTGACCTGCTGTTGACCCTGTGACTTTTACACAGATCAGGTCTGTGATCAACATATTAGGACTAGGGCTGGCTGAGAAGGCTGTGAGGCTGAGAGGGGAAGGTGACTAAAGCAGGTTGCATCCCTGAAACTGGGTATGGAGTTGGAAACACCATGGCCTCTGGACCCTTCCCTGCCTGCAGGACCTGCCCTAGCCTTCAGGATTCTACTACATCTCACAGACACTCCCCAGCCTCTGGGACCTCTTTCCACCCTGTGAGACCTGTCCGCAGCCTCCAGTACTCCTCTGGCACTTCTCCCCAGGCTTCAGAACTATCCTCCACCTCCAGGTCCCTTCCCCACATCCGGGACTTTCCCCAGTCTCTAGGATGTCTCCTGTTCCTCTGGGATATCTCCAAGATTTCTCCCCAGTCTTTGGGACCCTGGGCCTGAGCTCTGGCTGACCCTACAGCCACCTTGCAGCCATGACTTAGGGAGCTTAGTGGGAAGTCCAAAACCACATAGTTGACATCACTGGGATTCCTCCTGGGATCTGGGCCAAAGGCATCCTTGGTGGCTGGAGATGCTGCCTTCTGGCTTTGCTGTCACAAAGAGCCAAAGCCATCAGTGATTTGATGAAAATGACCTGCCCTGCACTTAGGAGCAGACATTGCCTGTTTATGGAATCTTGTTTACATCCTCCCAACACTCCTGTGGGCAAGCACCACTGCTGTCCATACTAAGATTGATTCAGAGGTCTGCAGAGCTGCCCACCATGGTACAGCTGGTGAATGGTGCATGCTGGTGTGTGCTAACCCACACTTCTCCTGCCACCCTCTCCTGAGACTCAGCCTGCCTTGCTGCCCCAGGAAGCGAGACGCAGCCTGTAGGCTCTGGACTTTCTTTGGCTGCTCCAAACTGGTTCCTCAGAAGGTCCCACCATGGTTGAGAGCAGGTGATTAGACACAAGCAGCAGTTCCCCAGAGACCCCATTTCACCTCTGCAGCCTGCACAAAGCCCCCAGTCCTTTCTCAGTTCTGCTGAGTCCAGACCCATCTAGCCCCCAACACTTGTGCCTGGGAGTCCCCTAAAGTCTCATTCTAATGAGGCAGGCAGGAATCCTGTGTTCTGTTTTTGGCTGCTGCAATGGTTGGTTGATTCATTCACTTGTCTATGCAGCAGCTACAGGTGAAGGTCAGCAATAACCTCACAACAGCAGCCTGTGGAGGACCACGCTCTGCTGTAGGCACTCCAGACTGTGTCCATTACCACTACCTGTACTATGCTCAGGAGTCCCTTCAAGACACAGACTTCCCTGGGCAGGAACCAGCTTCCCTACAGCTGATGATAAAGCCTGCTGCCCACATCTATGCCCAAGAAGGACTTGAAGCACAAGGGTACATCACAGAGATGCAGGGAGCCTGGCCAGGGGAAAGTAGCCAAGCTGGGAGTGGGGCTCAAAGGACTCACATTAAGAATGCTCACCCCCTTGCTGTCTTCTGGGTCTGTGCTGCAGATCCTTGGTTTAACATGGGGACAGCAGTCCTGTGAGTAGCTAGGGTTCAAGGGTTCGCAGCTGTAGGAGGAGACAGGTGAGCAAGAGGCAGCATCCAGCTGCCCTCACACACCTGGGCCTGGCCTCCACTCCATGATCAGCTGAGATCTGCACTGGGGCAAGGGTAATTACCCTCCTCAGATGAGGAAACCCACTCCCAGGAGAAAAGACTCCATCAGCCAAGGGCACCATTCAAAGGCAGTGTCTAAAGCAGCATCAGTGACCTGACCCTCCTGCCACCAACGTCACATCACCTCCCCAACGTCCACACAAGCTAATGACACTCATGTGGCACTTGGTGATCTGCAGGGGGGCTGTTCGAGGATGGCCTTGCTGTGCAGGTCCTGTGGCACTGGCTTTACTGGGATGAGAGCAGGGACTTGGTGACCAGCAAAAGCAACAGTGCCACACATAACTGCACTTGCACACCACATTCCTGCAGTCCTCAGTGTCATGTGGGAAAACCAAGGCACAGCACTTGAGGTAGTTCATCAGGTTCCAAACTATACGTTCTAACCACTCCATCTATGGTAGTAATATTTTCAGAATCCAAACTGGGTGGATTCATGTGGTCAGGCCACAGCCTTTCCTCCCCAGATTTATGACTTTTTATGAAACGAGAGGCCATATTTGAAGTGGTCACTGGGGCACTACACTGCTCTGAAGCAGGCTACATGCCCATATGGAGGGAGGTAAATGGCTATGAGGGCTGAGGACTCACTTCTACACTCTGGGAGAAAGTCTCCACTGGTGAGACTGAAAGGGCCAGTCACTTGTTCCTTCTGTGAGTCCTGCCACTGACCTGTAGCTCACAGATTTAGGTGGAAAAAACCTGTACCTTGAAGTGCTTCCTCCCAGTCCATGCAGGAATCCTGGCCTGACTGTAGCCAACAACTGCAGTGCCAGCCCCTGCCCTGGAGCTTCCTGTAGCTCTCCTTCCCATGCCCTGGATAGAGGCCACTACCACACTTTGCAGACAAGAAACCCAAAACCATGCTCACAGAATTGACTTTGTCCATAGTCACTGACCCTAAGTCCAGGATACACCTGATACATAAGCAAATGCAAACATCCTCCAGATATTGTCCAGATATGGACAGGGCACATAGACTTACTTTTCCGGCCTTGCTTAGGGTGAGGGTTGACAGGAGATAGGTGGATCTCATCTGCTTGAAGGAGGCCTTGGTGCAGAGGATGGGCTGGGAGAGATAGCTAATTAAGTCACAGAGATAGGGCCCTGGGTTCTTGGGTACTCTGGCCTCCTCTGGAGGATGCTGTTGGGGTTCAGGCATAGCTAAAGAGACTGTAAATGAGGAGGACAAAGGAGAGGGCACCTCCTCCCAAAGGGATGAAGGCATCTGTTTGCTGTTTTCTCTCCACATGACATGTTTGAACCTTGACCTTTGAACTGTAAATCCTGTCCCTATCTGATCTTAATCTGCTATGCTAAGTTCCTTTCTTTGTGCTAGTGGTGTAACAGACTGGTAGCAAACATACATTTTGACCATTTGCTGTGCTCAATAAAAGCCACAAGGCAAATGGATTCAATGAAGTAGTCTTCAGCTATTCTCTACCTCAGTCTCTCTAACACATATTCCTGTGTCTGAGTGATCGTTCATCTGCCATTTCAGTTGTGCTGGACATAACCCAAGCTCCTCACACCTCTCAGTACCTACCAAAGGCCTTTTCACCCTTGGGTTCTGCCTCACTGGACTTCAGGTCCTGCAGCTGGGTCAGAAGCAGGTCAACAGGGACTGCCAGTTCTGAGCAGGGCATGTTGAGCAACACATAGGCCATAAGCTGATTCAAGCAGGCCAGATCCATGGACTGGCAAAAATCCTCAGGTACTTGTCTAGCCATGTTCTCAGGATGGAGCAGATGGCTCTGGGGGTAGGTGGGAGGGCAGAGTCAGGGCTTGGCCTCCGCCTCCCCAGCACCCCCCACTTGCAGAGGTGCCCAGTCCATGTGCAGCTGGGCATGGTGGGCAGAGGTGTGAAGCCCATGTGAGCAAGGTGCTCCCCATAACCTCTGTCCAGGCCATGATGGAACACAGTGCTGGACAAGCCTGTGGTAGGGGTGGATTCTCACAGGGCTGACTCTGAGCCTCCAGCCTCCCCTCTGCCCCCTGGGTACCCAGAAGTCCATCCAATCTCTGTTTTTCTCTGCCTGTAGGTGAAGCCCCAGGCCTCAGCCCTCTAATGGAAATCACAAGAGGGGTTCCCAGTCTCCAAACCATGTTCCCCTAATACTCCCACTCTGGAGATGGGAACACTCCCTCTTGACCGAAATCCCACTCACTTCTTAACTTGCTCATCCTCCTCACAATCAGGGTGGAAGAATCCATACCTAGAGGAAGCCAGGAGAGTGTCACCTTTAATGATCTGTGTCCCCATCTGCCAGGACATATAGGGGCCTGGTTAACTCCCAGATGGAAACAGAAATTTAGAAGGGATAGGAAGTTTTTCTGCACTTTTCTCTGAATTATATGTTAAGTGATAGGAATGTGTCTTCACACAGTATGTGCTTCATGTATGTTTGTGCCAGGACTGAGCCCAACCAGCTCCTTCACAGATATCTCAAGAGGCACAGCGAGCTCCTTCCCAAATATCTCTAAATCCACCCCGAGGGTCCCTGCTTTGGCTGCATATATGTCAGGCACCTCTGCAGATGGGTTCCAGAACATCCTTACAAATGGGAAAAGTGCTACTCATGAGGCTTCAGATAAGTGAACCCTAGGGAAGATGGCTTCTATGTGGAAGGGGAAAGTCACACATAAGGAGCCTACAGCCCTGGGCAGCCCATTCTGCAGGGCTAGACCCAGGGCAAGCACTTCCAGGGCTTGTCCTACTTGGTTCTGACAATACCCTATGTGAGCACACAAGCTCAGAGCAGTGCAGAACATTCCCAATACCAGGCCAGGAAGAGGCGTGATTCCTGGGCTTGGAAGGGGCATTCACCTCTTAAGCAGCAGCTCTAGCACCTGCTGTGTGACGGCAAACCTTCGGTAGGCACACAGGAAGGCAGGGACAAAGAAGGGGTCCCCACTCTGCATGGAAGGCACCAGGTGGTTCACCAGCTTCTCCAGTGAGCCTACCTCGAGGGGCCTTGCCCTGCAGGCCTCATCCAGGCTTGGTGACTCATTTTCAACCTGGGATATTCAAGGAGGGTTGATTCAAACATTGAAATGATATTAAATTGCAAAATGACTGAATACCACACATTGACATGAAAACTGCAAAAACACTGCTTGACATTCTCATTCCAACACACTTATCTGCGGAGGGTTGTGGGCTTGGGCAGGGGGAGTCAAGAGAGGTTTCCTGTCATGTGTGAACCTTCCTTGGGTCACCTTTTGAGCCCCTCTGGAAAAATGGCTAGAAACGTTGAGGTCAGGGGCAAGGGCTGATCCACCATCTCCAGATTCAGATTAGGCAGCCACTCTGGGTTTTCCTGAAGCTTGAGCAAGAAGTTGAGAGACAGCAAGGAAACATCCTGCTCTCTCAAGGATCCCTGGACTAAGGGAGCTGGCCTAGGCTCATTCTGTTATGTAGCTGTGTAGCTACAGAGTTCCAAGTTCCGTGTAGTCCACTGTCAAGGAAATGAGGTCACCATCCAGGGTCCCCTACTTGAAACTCTTCCTCACACAAGACCTCCCCAAGGACTGCTGCTGCTGTTCTCCCTCCCCATCACATGAGCACATCTGGACAGTCTGCCAACTTACCACCCACTCCACCTCATCTGGGCATTGTGGGTGCAGAGAGCACCTCAGCTTCAAGCAGACAGAGCTGAGTTCAGACCTGGGCCCTCCTTGTACCAGTGTGTCATTCTGAACAGATCATGTAGTCTCTCAGGGCCTCTCCTGTCTCTTCACCTGCTCCTTGAAGATTACTCCAGTGTCCTACTTCCTACATTGTCATCAGTTGTACATGCCCATAAATGCCTGTAATTACTGTGAAACTTAGGGCTGGTTCATCTGTTGCTATCATACAAAGTTAAGGATGAGACAATCACAGGAAATGAATTCATTGCCACAGAGAACACGTACACACACGCAGAGAGAGAAATGTGGACACAAACATACATTTGCACACATGCACACAGAGAGAATGTGCATAGGAGTACCCAATGCTGTGGCTGGCAGCAAGGGGTCAAAATGATGGGGCCCTGGCTGCTGGGCACCCGTGGGAATTCACCTGCTTCCTCCATGGCCAGTAGGTGGAGGGAGCTGGGCTCTGAGCACACAGTGCTCTTCAGGACTGGTGCCTTCCCGAACAGACTGCAACTGTTTTCCCTTTCTGGGAAGAGGAAGAGTTATGGAAACAGCCATTACTAGCAAGAACAAGAGGAGTAACTGTTTGTATACAAGAAGTCACACTGGGTTGGCCACACTTTTGAGGTGGAAACTGGGTCTTCTTGCCTCCATGATCATGGAGTCCACATAGAATCGTCTCACAGATACAGAGTGTAAAAGTCTTGTGGTTGGTCCACTTGGGTTTCTGGAAGCCTGACTGGGCTAGGGTGGCCAGGCCATGGAACTGTAGAGGCTGGATGCACCTTTGCTCAAGTCCAGACATCACTGGCAGGTCAACACCTCAGGCCCTGATCACATACAGGACAATTGAGGGTCCTGACCCTAGGGCAGGGTCTGGGGTTACTGTTCTTGCTAGTCAGCTTGCATGGGTGAAAACAGCAGCCCAACTCCACAGAGGTGTGCTGTGCAATAGCCTGCCACAGCCTTCTCCCCCATGGCCTGCTGGCAGACACACTGAGCTGCTTCTGCCATGGTGCTGTATCTCACTGTCTCTGTTCCCTGGCTTGCTTGCTGAGGCCTTGGAAGAAGCCTGGGATCCTGTCTCCCTGTCTGAAGGCCTCACACTACAGAATCCTCTTCTAGATAAGATTGCTACCTGGAAGACCAAGCCCAAGACCTGTTCACCATGGGCAAGGCCTTGTCTCTGTGACTTACCCACACACATTTGTCCCAGACTGGGGTGCTGTACTAGCCCAGGGCTGACCAGAACCAAGTAGGTCTGCAAGGCAGATGCCCTCTCTTTTGGGGCTGTGTTGACAGTTCCATGGGGTGTGGCTTTCAATATCTGCCTGAGCAAGGTCAAATCCACTCACCTGGTGAGATTGGCTCCGAGGTCCTTGACTGGGTAATGCTGGGGGACTCAGGGGAGACAGCTGTGACAGAGGATGAGAGAACATGAACCTGTCTATCCCATGTAGATGCTCCCCACAACCTCTCCAGTACTTAGGATCTAGTGATACCCAGACCTTGCTCTGGACCCACAGGAGTAGTTTATCTTCTGACACATCTGCCCCCACTCAGAAATCTCTCTGTGGGTTGGGGGGGTTCTAGGGGTGGCAACTGCAGAGTCCTCCTTGACTTTGCCTCAGTGTACATTTTGCCTGACTCCTTGTTCTGTTCCCAAGCCATCACCCTCAAAACACATTGTCCCGATTTCACATTTTGGTTTTGCAGGAGATAATCTCCCATGGGCAAAGCATGGTGTGGTGGGCAGAAGACCCACCGTGAGTATTGGTGACCATCATGGGGTTCCAAATCCCCTGAGCAATGGATGATGAGGGTCCCACAACTTGGGAACACTGGTGCTACCTCCCCTCCTCTGGCTCAGCTAGGGCTGACCACTGACCTTGGTGAAGATGGCTGTTGTCCCCACAGGGAGGGGGCTATGTGCTGGGGAGGTGCCAGGTGCAGAAGCTGATCTACAATTTTTTTACTGACTGGAGGTCTTTGCTGAGGGGAGCTCCATTTGAGGTGCTTGGGCTGACTTGGCTTGTGGGGCTGGCATATAGAGCTACGGCTTGTGTCCTCTGGCTGATAGGCCTGCTGTGACCTTGTGGCTCTTGTTCAGCACAGATCTCCTAGGGATCTGCTCAGCTGATAAGGGTTGGATGTGAACATCTATTTTGTCTACCATGAGGTCCTCAAACTTCTGGCACAGGGCATGAGTGCATGTCCTGGAGATGTGCATTTTCTTCATTATACTTCTTTCAACGCCCTGGGGCTGGGCTGGCATGTCCTGGG